CTTGGGCGTGCAGTTTGTAATTTCCGAAAATAAAAAAGCCCCTACAATTCGATTTGTAGGGGCTTTAAACATGAAATTGGTTGCATAAACGACATGGGCAATGCATATTATACGGAAATTAGTCGAAATTACCTCAAAAAATCGAAACCCAATGGCTATTCGAGCTTGATTTCTTCTTTTTCGAATTTTTTTTTTTTTTTTTTTTGCTATTTGCGGTTTTTGGGTTTTGGAAGTTTAGAGAGAGAGAGGGTTTTTTTTATGAGCCGCGAATAACAAAAACGCAACCGCGAATAGCATTTCCGAAAAATAAACGCTATAGATAGGCGTTCCTAGGCCCAAGCCTTTTTTCGGTCTCTCAAGAATAAATTAGATTTTTTGTGAGAGGAAATTTAAAGTATCTTAACTATCAATTATTTCCTCACGAAGCCGGTTGAGAATGCTTCTCTCGTCGATCTGCTGACCCTATCGTCTTCCCGTTTCTCTTCCTTCCAGTCCAGATCGAAACAACTTGTTCTCGCATCTTGTTTTCACTATCTATTTCTCTCATTATTTTTTTTACTTTTCTAGTTTTAATTATTTGTCAAAATCCCTAATTCTACTCGATTCTTTTCCTTTTACTTTCGGTTGTAGTTGTTCCTGCTGGGTAAAGTATGGGTTTTATGATGCCCATATATTTTAGAGCCCAATTTCTTATGGAGTTATGTGAAAATTACTTATGGGGCTTCTAATATAATGACTGTGAGAAATCGGTTCTTCTCATAAGGTTGATTTATCCTTTCTACAAGAGTCATTTTGTTGAACAATTTTGGTTAGTAAAATTTATATACATATGACACGCATTTTATCATTTGCGCCATATTTTATTTTACGAAAAAAATATGAATTTGATCTTCCCTCTTGTCTTGTGTAGCTACTTTGCCGAAATTATAAGCAAATTGCACAGATTCAAAATGGAGAAATGTTTTCGGTGAGTACTCTTCTTAATGACTTGGGGACTAGTTCACTAACTGCAAGTGTAGGAGAACTTGTATTATTATTATTTTTTTTTATGTTTATTTTCATTATGGGTGCATTTGGATGGAGGGATTTGGGGGAGGGATTTCAAATCCATAATAACAAATCCCTCGGACTTGTTTGGATTGAGAGATTTGGAGATGGATTTCAAATCCCCACCCCTCCTTTTTAGTTGATTTTGGAGCAATAGTGATGGATTTCAAATGACTCCAAAATTGGAGTCATTTCAAATTCATTCCCCAAATCAATTCCCTCCCCAAATCCCTCCATCCAAATGGACCCTATGTGTTCATCTTAATATTGATAGTTTTGGCATGTCATTCCAATGATTTTAATATTATTGATTCATTACCTAAAAATAGGTGTGCCTTTCCATGGCTTTAGAAGCATTTATTGATTGGGTTACTGATAACCGTTGAAGTTCGGTTCCAATTTGTGACTCATGGTGTGGCCTTTTATTAGGCCTCTTATTTATGAATGTAAACTCTTAATGTGAGTGGTTGTAAGTTCTTCATAATTTATTTTGTAGGTTTTTACTCAAATGTGCAGTATATGTAGTTATTGCTTGTAGATCTAGTCTATAACAGCTTATTCAACGATTTATGGTCTTCGTTGCAGGGCATAATGTCTTTGCAGTAGTCATCTTTGCTACTCCAGTGAATTTCAATCACCCTCGCTTCATGGTTGGGTTGAGGAATCCGGCCAACTGATAGTGTATCGCTTTGAAATTCATAATTTTCAAACTTTATTGCCGGTTGAAAGTGAGGTAAACTAATTACAAACACATATTTCCCAAATCACTTGATGTTATACTTGTTGATGAAAGTCTGTACACACATGTAATTATATAGTACATTTCGGAGTGCCAGAATGTGTGTTATTCAATATGGGAAATCGTATGCATTTTCTATCTGATGCGAACATCATATACTGGGAATGCTAAAATGCACTAATCCATACCAGTTGTTTCGATTATTTAGTCTATGTTGAAATGTACTAAATCAGTACCTTGCAAAGCTTTTAATATTGTATTTCTATGTCATTTTTACAGAAAAACTTGGAATCTTCGGAGTTCAGCGTAAGTGCTTGCCGACTTGAAGGCATGACAACATTGTAGATCTTTAAATTACAAGTTTTTCTTCGTTTAAATAATGATAAGTGCATTGTAGACCATATTTTTTTATTGAGACACTATTTCTTTTATTTTTGTTCTACAAGAATATTGAAAGATAGTGTTAGCCTTTTTATGTGCATGTATTAACTTGGTTAAAATATTAATGATATTTTTTGGTGATATTGTCGAGATCTTTTTCAAAAATAGGATTATTATATTATAGTGTTCATTATTTTGTTGAACAAATTTATTAGAAAAATCTATGTGTTCAATAGCATTAATTAAATAAAATTAACCATTTAATAATAGCTCACAATCAGATGCTATAGTATGACATAGCATTTATTTTAGGCTATAGTTGCTAAAATGATAGCGCTGAATACGTGTTATAACAAAGTGAATAATAGCTCAACAAAAACGCTATGCCTAGAAATTTTAAAATAGCGTTTACTAAACGCTATGGAAAAGTTTCAGCCTATTATAGCTCCGACAGACATAGCATTTTTAAAAGCGCTATAATGTCCTACTATAGCAGCTCCGGCAGACATAGCATTTTTAAAAGCGCTATAATATCCTACTATAGCGTTTTTCAAACGCTATGGATGATGCTTTGTGGCGTAGTGTCTATTAGGTTAAAACGACTTCTGTCTAAAATTGGTTTTTTAAATAAAAAGGTTGAGGTTTTTTTTTATAGTCAATTCAGCTGTGCAAAAATCATGTCTTTCATGACAAAATAAAACACATTGATGTGGTTCAAACATCAGTGCAACTTCTTTTATTTTATGCAACTTGTCCACAATCCTAGGACAAATATTACTGTGGTATTTTTCAATCAATTCCCTCTTTTTAAAAAAGCTACACATTCGTTGTCTTTAGAAAGTCTCCTATTGTTAAAAATTGAGCCTATAAATGAACTTTCTGATTTGGGCATGTCTTTTAATTCTGGCAGCCCAACTCAAGGAATTGGGCACAAGCAACTTAAGCCCACTACCAAGTCAGACCCGATCTTGACCCTCCATTTTGTGTAGTTAATCGTGGACGTTCATCTGACTTTTTTCTCACTCCTCCTCAAACCCTAGCAGTTCATTTCAGTTGTATCGTTTCTCCCTCTTCTTGTTCCCTTCTCTCTCTACAGTCCTTCGTCATCCATTGTAGTTTTCCGGCGACACCGTCGCAGGTCCTGCCAGACAATGGATGTCCTTGCCGCCATAGATTATTTAATGCTACGGACCGTTGAAACTTCGTGTATAAATACTGTGGTAAGAGAGAGACAAGGCATACTTTACCTTTAATTCTTTCACTTCCAATTGTCTTTTATGAGTGTTTGAGATCTCTAAGTGAGGATAACTAGGGTTTGTGCTGAGTGGAGAGGGTGAGTTGTGACTGAGTTAACAGTGTATCTGTTGGTGAGTCAACTCAGGGTGAGTTCTGGGTAGATCTAGGGCTTGGGTGTGTGGCAGTTTCTTAATACTTATTTCCATTCTGGAGTTGCGACCAAAACTTGAATCTTCTGGACTGAACGCTGAAAAAGGGAATTAAGCCGTTTGATTATACATGCAGCTCTTTGCTTGAGCTATTTTGCAAGCTATCTCTTTCCCTCTTTCAATTAGTACGGATATATGGTTGAAACTATTGGAACTTGTACCTAACACCAATAATATCACAAGATCCCTTGCATCGTTTATGAAGTTGTAAGACTTGTATAGTTGTTACTTAACATATCACATTTAGTGGCTGGTGTTACTTAATGCTTACACCACAACTTGGGAGGGATCTTACACAGCCAAAGATAAGCCTCTAGATTAACTTTTCTTATTCTTTCCATGTGTTCTTTAAACCTCTCTTCAGCTTAAGAAGTGGCTGCAGCCCACGTCATATCTTTCAAAGCTGGATCACTAAAGACTTTCTTAAAGTTTGCATAGATATGTCTTACACAAAATGTGTGCTCCACATTAGACATCAGTTCTTCAAATGGTTTAACCATTCTTTCTGCCTAACTAATGAAACTCCACCCCATCTCATGAGGCGTG